ACGAGATAGAATATGGGTATTATGAACGACAATAGCAATAATGATAAATAAGATGATAGGGTATGGGAATTATGATTGGTAACAGCGGAGTAGAAGATGGTGTTTAACTTTTTATGTATGAACGTACACAAAACATCGTCTACCACTAAGAATGTATGCACAACATTCCCACAAATGTGTATGTGATTTCTTAAAATGTATGAGACTTTAAAACATAATCCATATACACATGCAATATAATATACATGACTAGTGTCACAAGTTTATGTGATTTCATGTACATATGGTTGTATTGAATGTATATGATATTCGTACGTGCATATTGTTTACTATTCGTGTACTTTTAATTATAGGTGTACGTATATGAAGCACGCGATAATGTATGTATATTCGCAAATATGATATAAGATGTATAGTTGCATTTAATGCTTTAACTCTCTCTGGTTAGTGTACGTACATGAAGCACACAGTTGCTTTGAATGCTTTTATAACTGTTGTATTCAGTGTACCTAATATTCAATTATATATATACGTCCACATGTGGCTTTACTGAGTGTACATGACTGGTGGTACAAGTGTGTTTGCGATTTCATGTTCAATGCTTTAAAATTCTCTCTGGTTATTGTACGTACATGAAGCACACTGCATCTAATCTTTTTATACCCGTAGTATTCAGTGTATATGATATTTAATTACATATGTACATCCACATGTTGTTTTATTGACTGTACGTGACTAGTGACACAAGTGTGTATTCGATTTCGTGTACAAGTGGTTGTATTGAGTGTACATTGTACGTCTATATTTGATTCATTGAGTGCACGTGACTAGTGACATAAAGCAGGTGCATTAAATGCATGAAACCTGACATAAAACATAGACATTAAATTTGGGCATTAAATACAATTTTAACATACATAAAGTGAGGTGCATTAAATGCAAACTAATAGTGAGGGCATTTCCGTCCAGAAAGTACTCCATGTGACATTTATGTGTGCAAAAACACGTTTGTGACTTTTTTGTATCTAGAACTGAGTTTTTATGACTTTTTGTAATCTTCTGTTTATCTATCTATACTTCTTCGTCTCAGCATAAAGGTGTTCATGGGTTTGCCATTAACGCACTTTCTTTGACGCTCTTTAGCATTAGAGACATCTTCAGCAACTATCTACGGTTTGCAAATATGCCCAACCTGGTCAAGGCGAGTGTCAACCTTGTTTCTCACCAACCAGATTCTCTTCCTGAGTGTTTACCATCCCATCTTGAGACTTTCGAGTGGAGACACTACAATGGAACAGAGTAAGAGAGGAAAAATGCAAAGTACATCCTCGCAAACGCCACCTGTTTAAAGAAGAATATTCTCTGCAGAGAAACATGAGATGCTCAAGGAGTTAGAATGTGCGGCCAGAGGTTCAAAGACATGCCAGCTTGTATTTAAATAAATTCTTTAACGTTCTACTTACTGTCTTACAATTGAATCTCTCTCCAGAGATTCTTTTGCTTATGTTTCTGTATATTTTTAATTAAGGTTTAAAAAGAGTTTAAAATAGATCGGAGGATACGAAAAATATCAAAGAAGTTTGACGGAGAACAGCCAACGGCGATCGGATCGATCCTTCGGATAAAATTAGATTTCTTTGTCGTTAGAATACCGAACCGGTCTGGACTGGTTTAAGTAATACCAATATAATTATATATTTCGTCACCAATCCTATTATTAACTCGGTTTAGCTCCGCCCCGCAATTTTGGTATATTGATTTCGATTTTGGTATATTGTGTTCTTCAGGTAATCAAATTTCCAAATAAAAGATGTATATACCCTTTAAGAAATCATGTTTGAAATTCCTTACTAAAATATATATATATATTTTTTATTAAACACACTAGTTTCAAACACAAAAAATTTGAAGATAAATCCGATTGCTAACCCAAAAACGAACTAAATATGTGACTGACAGACAGTTTTTGTATTAAATGAAAACATTAAAAATGATGCAATTGGAAGAAAATGAATGGCATGTGTAATTAGTTGCACCAAAAAGGTTTTGCTGGTGATAGGAAGTCATTGATGATTTAAATTTGCACAAAATGACCAAAAAATGATGATCGCTCTCATTATAGTAACCACCACTCAGAAAAGATCCGTGTGATAATAATTATGACTTAAAGAAGAATGACATACGTTTTTTGTCATCTGATGATATATTATAATGATCGAATAAAAATCCTTAAACGAGTTATAAATGCTGACGACATACAAAGAAAGCCGACGGATCACCAGATCCTCGGAATCAAAGCCGAAGACTAACGATTATTCCAAAACACACACACAAATTAAAACATAAAGAAGAATGACATACATACATTAAAAAAATTCATAGAGTTATTATAGAATATTTATTAGAAAAAATAATAAAGAATTACACGGCTGTCCAAAGACGTGCTATCCCTTAAATCATTGTATGTTCTTCATTTTGATTATTTATTTTCTTTTGTTAAAAAAAATGGACATGAAATTGTTATCCTTGAAGCATGCACGACATGATC